AACTTCACCTAAGAAGAAGGGTGATATGCTGAAGTTTAACTTGGAAATTTCCAAAGTTTGGCCTGTTGAAATTCATCAGTTATTGCACCTCACCCTGGAATCTTATAATGAGGGTGAGTTTGGAAATGATTTAATAAATGAATAAATTAATAGTGAGCTTGTACAAGAAGCTGACACCAAGGACAAAACTTGGGGAATCTGCCATGCCTCCTGTTACCCACCCCAATGCCACCCACGGGAGAAGTTGTGCTTCTTTGGAGCCCCAAAAAAGGCCGACGTCAGAGCCTTTTATCAGTGTGAGACTCATTAAAGAATCACAGGCAGTAATATTAATATTAATAATCTCTTCCTGTGGGAACATTTAGGTCACCTAAGTGGTGCTTGTTCCTGCCTTGGGCCGGGGAAAGCTCCACGTAGAGAGGAGAGCTCACTTCCTGTTGAGGAACCCTATTCGGAGTACCTCGGGGAGCCTCTGCCTTCGAGCGCCCAGTTATTGGAGCCTCCCAAGAGAAGCACAGGCACTCCCAAGTGCGGTTGTACCAGGACATTACAGTCGCGCGAATGTTTTAAGTAATGAGTCAGTCAATCAGTGAATGACCTGGTGGGCCTTTCCTCTCCCAGGCTGCCTCTCTTCCCATCAAGGACACAGTGGTGACTTTGGTGGGACGCCAGAGTCTCACTTGGGGACACAATCCACCACAACCTGTTCACTAAGATGGCATTTCTAAAGCAGAAAAGAACAAAGGAAACACCCTGAACCCATTAAGAGGAACATGAAAAAGGGTCAAGAGGGAGCCCTTTGAAGGTATCTCAGGGTACCTGCCCCGAGCTGAGAATTTAGAGAAAGGGAGAGATCCTTCTAGAACCACCTACGTGGGCGTCAGGACATTTAGGCGCAATCCACAACATGTAGAGTAGTTAGTAGCGTCATAGACTTAACAAAATTGGTACCGCCAACTTGGACCGCTCCCTCGGAGGGCCAGAGCGAGACGTATAAATCTCTCCCCATCTCAGGCTTTCCCAACATCACCCCTGGACTTCCTTCGGCTGCTTCTGCTCATCGTCTCCAGCCTTTGGTAAGTTACCTTCCAAACTATCACGTAGGCATAGGTTTAAAAATGTGTTGTTGCTGTTGTTTTCCTTTTTCTTTGCAGTATGCGAGAAGTTTGCGATATTTTTAAATACTTTTTTCCAAAAGTCTTGAGATTTCTTTCACACTGAAATTCAAAAGAGAGTCTATTTGACCGATTCACCTGCCCAGAGAGAATATTTCTTTGCTTGCTAAGCTTTCACATTCCAGCTATGAATCTTTGCTCCTTTACCCATGTTTGGGGTGGAGCATTTGGGTTTCCGCCACTGCTTTCTGAACGTGTATTTTTAAATACTTTTTTCCAAAAGTCTTGAGATTTCTTTCACACTGAAATTCAAAAGAGAGTCTATTTGACCGATTCACCTGCCCAGAGAGAATATTTCTTTGCTTGCTAAGCTTTCACATTCCAGCTATGAATCTTTGCTCCTTTACCCATGTTTGGGGTGGAGCATTTGGGTTTCCGCCACTGCTTTCTGAACGTGACTGGCAGGCGTTACAAAATTCTTCACACCAAACAACGACCTTTACGTCTCCGGCCACTGCCGCCAGGTGAGAGTTTAGTTTGCCCTGACCCTGATCCCAAGAGGGCTCTGAGGAAGCACAGCTTCCCCTCTCCATGGCCTGGGCTTGGACAGGAGCAAGGGGGTCACAAAGATAAAGCCCTTTTATCGCCCCCAATTTCCCAGCGTGGACAGGATCCTAGTCAACAAAGAAACGGTAACATTCCTGGTGAGCAGATGGCTTCTGTCTCCCCTCTGTGTTCCTTAATATTTCCTATGTCTCTTCCCCCCCCTCCTCCAGATATCTCTCCAAGATGTCTCTCACACCTGAGAGATTGATGCTCACACTGCAAGGAGACGGATCCATTGCCAGTGGTGGGATGGTTGATTTCAATGGGCTTCGTCTCTCTGACCCCGATTTAATGAAGCTTGCCCTTCAAGAGCTTGTGATAGTGATGCCCCGTACCGCACGCTTTTTTAACTACCCTTCTTTCTTCTCCAACAACATCTGAGGCTGAAGGTCCCCGGCAAAGAATTGTTGATTTCTAGAACACCGCCAAGCCACCTTTGCCAATCTGAGTGAACATCTGAGAGGTCCCCGGCAAAGAATTGTTGATTTCTAGAACACCGCCAAGCCACCTTTGCCAATCTGAGTGAGTCCTGCTGTACCGCAAAATCTTCACGCTTCTGTGCAATTCCCTCCCCTCCGGCCCGCTGGGGAGCTTCAGGACGTGGCTCGCCCTGGCCTGCCATTCTGCGACCCCAGAGCTGGTCCCCGTGCTCCCCGTGACCCTGGCCGACAGGGACCACTCAGCCCCTGGACGGGAAGGCGGCCATTTTTGTCCCCCTCCTCGCCCGAAGGGAAGCTGTCCTCCACCAGACTCACCTGGCCTCACCGTCTAACAAAAGCCACCCTCTGCAATT